AAAGAAAAAACAGCCTGTCTTATTTTCTCACCATTTGCCATGTTAAATATTCATTCTATCTACCAGTAGTCCCTAGGGACAGCAGGGTGTAGTTCATAAAATATACACTGCAGCACCCACCAAAGCTCCTTTCGACAGCAGCTTAGAAAACACGAACCCCCAGAAGAACATGGGCAGCAGACACATGGGAACACCAACACCTGCAAGTTCTCTTAGACAGATATTGCCATTCCTTCAATGTCACTGGGTCAAAATCCTGAAACTCCCTCCTCACCGCACTATGGATCTACCTACCGCAAATACACTGCAGCAGTTCAAGAATGCGGCTCAACCACCATATGCTCAGCTACAATCAGCAATGGGCAACAAATGTTAGCCCAGCCAGCAATGCTCATATCCAATTAATGATTTTTTAAAAAACGTACCTATCATTGCTCAATCCCAACACCTTTCAATCTGCAATATACTGAGTCTGTGGGATTGAGTTGTGCTGGAAAAGGGTTATGTAGTGTTGGAGAGATGCAGTGTTGTGCAAAACCCACTAATCAGCTGATCCTGCAGTTTGGAAACATTGCACTTTCTCCCCCATGGATGCTGATTAATGTTGGGACATGCTGATTAAAACTAGGACAATGGACAAGTGTGCACATACCTATTGCTGGCCCTGTTCTCAGGAGAAATCCTGCTCACTTGCCTTCAAAGAAAATAATGAGGTGAAAGCTGTGGCTATGGACCTTCTGATCCTTTTGGCTACCATTGTTTGGGATCATGCACTCACCTCAAGGGAAGAGGTAGCAGCCAAGATGCAGAGAACAATAAAGCACCATTTGTTAAACCTCTTCATCTCTCTGCCTTCCAATCTCTCTCTTTATCTCTTTTTACGCTTGGTCTTTCTTACTTTCTCTCTTTATCTCCATTTCTATGTCATTTGTATGTTAATCTCACTGGTTTTCTTTCTCTCATTCTCTTTCCCTCTCTCCTCTGCCTTTCTCTCCCTGCCTGTCTAATTGTAGTTCCAGGTTGTTCGATTTCTCTAAAGGGCATGCTCGGATTTTGAGACTTTTTTTTGACAGGAAGGTAACAGGTTATACCTAAGGAGTCGAGCTTGGATTGCTTGTGATAGCTAAGCTCACTGTAGATGTGCAGCTTTTATCTGTTATTTACATCCAGCCAAATCATTGTCCTTGGTGCATTTCTAATGAAAAGTCTATATTTGATGGAACAATCACGAACAGGGCTTAACATAAACAGGTTTACAGAGAACAGTCAGTATTTTCTCTGATCAGATAAATAAATGAATATTTAACATGGCAAATGGTGAGAAAATAAAACAGGCTGTTTTGTTTTTGTTGTTGACGTGTACTTTGAATCAAAACCTTTGGGAACGTTTTCTCGAAAGTTCTGCGATCTTCCTCACTGTTTGTGTGACCAGCCGTTTCGATATTTCCAAAAGCACCTGGATGTGGAAACTGGTATCTGCCCGTGGCTCTGTGGTAGCACTCTCAACATTGAGTCAGAAGGCTGTTTGTTGACAGATACTGTTCTTTGGAAAATGCAAACCAAGGCCATGCCTGCTATCTAAGATGGACATAATAGGTTTCGTAACACTATTTCAAAGAAGCCCAGGGGAATTCTCCAAATTGCTGATATTTATCCCTCAATGAACTTGAATAAAAACAGATTATACAGTCATTGTAATGATGCTGTTCAGGGAGCTAGCTGTGCACAAATCAGCTGTGACATCACAGCAATCAGTCCACATTACAACAACTTTTACAAGATAAGAGTGACCACATTTCAAAAGCACTTTGTTCCCTATAAACACTTCAGGATTTCATGATATTATAAAAGGCCCTATTTAAATGCAAGTGCTTATTTCTTTCTCTTGTCAATACTACAAAAGTATAAGTGGCAGACATTTTTAAGGAGATATTCAATTCCTCCCAAATAAAATATATTCCAGAGAGGAAAAAAATTGTAAGGGGGGATAAAGCATCCATGGCTAAGCAACCAAGTGAAAGACAACATAAAGGCATAAACTAAGGCATACCATATTTGCGGAGGTGAGTATCAGGCTGGAAGATTGGGAAACTTTTAAAGACCAACAAAGCATACTAAAAAAGTAATAAAAAGGCCAAAGATTAATTATGAAAAGAAAACTAGTGCAAAATAAGACATGGATAGCAAAAGCACTGATTGGAAATGGCTAATGTAAAGCCTTTATTCAAAAAGGAAGGGCAGTAGAAAGTACAAAACTATAGACCGGTTAGTTTAACACCTATCATTGGAAATTTGTTGAAATCAATTATGAAGAAACTGTGACGATATCATGGCTTCAAGAGGTGTATTTTGTACTTTTTTTGTGAAGAAAGGTTGATACAGAGATTAGGGCAGTCTTCAAAAAGCCAATGCATAAAGTAAATAGATTGTGAGACCTTGGATTTTTTAAAATTTGGAACAATAGCAGCAGGCTGAATGAGTGGAGTCAAGCTCCCACAGGACCAGGATTTTTAGTTTTAGCAGTTTGCTGGATCCTTGCAGCTGAATGTGAAAGCTCTTATTCTGCTCTCTGTTACAGCTAAAAGCTGTGGTTCACTTCCTGCTGCTAGAATTGCATTGGAGACAATCTATTTTATTCAATTTGCCGTTGCCAAGGGTATGTTTATGGGATGTTACTGTATTGGAGCAGTTAATTAGTAGTAGCTAATATATATATTATTTTGTTAAACGTTTTGATAGAGTAACAGTTAAGACAATTCTTTCATTTTTATTTTGTCTGCATTTTAACTGTAGTGTAAAACTAAAGTGTGTTTTGCTTAAAGTTGAGTAGTTTGACCAATCAAATTGCATCTGGAACACAACTTTTAAAGTAAAAACCAGTTAGGGTCTGGGCTATCTTCTTAATATATTTTGAAGAGGTTTGGTCTAGTCCATAATATAAGTAATATTGGTACATTTGGAAAATCAAATCACAACCCATCAGAGCATGATTTTACGAAGGGTAAATCATGCTTGATTAATTTCCTAAAGTTTTATGCAAATATATAAATAGTGGATAATGGACAGTCCTGTGTATTATTCTCCCCTTCCACATACCAATCAGGTATTGTGTAGAATATTGAAGTGGCCCAGTTACTGGACATGGTGGATACATCCAGCCTGGCCTTGTGTCTACAGACCCAGTAAACTGAACTTAAAGCTACATCAGTGGAGCTGCATATCCATCTGCTTTGCTGACATTGGGATCTTTCAGGGTGTGTATATTCTGTGGAGTGCAGCTGACTCAGGAAGACGCACAATCTAACTGTGGATATACAATTCATATAAAGTACCTGAAGAAATTCACTCTTACACACCAGAATTCAGAGGGCTTCAACCAGCCATTCTTGTCATATATTTAGAGAATCTACCAGGCAGATACATCCATTCAGCCTCTCTCAGTCACACGCAGAATTTCAGAGGGAAACTACTCCTGCTGAATTGCGCTCTCACACACAACCTTTCACAGAGAGATGGTTCCACACATTTCTTCCTCTTGCACACAAACAGTAATTTCAGAGATTTATAAATTTCACTCACTCTCGCACATGCACGCAGTCTGGCTGACGTACAATACCATTCAGCATGAAGAAGGCTCATGGAATTTTTTTAGGATCTAGAACTTGCTACTTGAAAACCTGAGGTAAAGGTGTTTTCAGAAATAATTTTGAAGTGAGTTGAGCAGATGTCTGAAGATGAGGAATTCACATTTGTAGACAATAAGTGAGATATTGCATGACAGTTTGTCCACCAAGATCCCACAATTTACCAAATGGCCACTTTCTGTGCTTCAAACTCTTATGAATTTTATAATCTCTTTCTCTCACAGATACTGTCACACAAAACCTCTCAATCCCCTCAGGTTAACAATCCCATTCAGTCTTGAGGAGCAGTAAGAATTGGGAGTCCATGTACAGACAGCAATAACAGCTGATGGACAAGTACGAAAATAATTTAAAAGGCTGATGGAATGTTAGCCTTTATCTTAAGTAGGCTGGAATGTAAAGTCAGTAAAGCTCTTGTTCCATCTCATCTGGAGCACTGTGTTCTGGGAATCACAGTTCAGGGAAGATATATTGACCTTGAAAAGGGGTACATTGCAGATTCACCAGAATTAGGTCAACTTTAAAATGGTGAAATTTCAAGTAAAGATGTAAAGAATAGACTTGTATTCCCTTGAATAAAGAAGACTAACTGGCAATATAACTGAGATGTGGGATTGAGGTAGAGGGGACAGACAGAGGAGGCAGTTAGACAGAGGAGAAGCAGATGGCACCAGATAGAGAGAGGGAGAGGCACAGTTGCAGACAGAAAAGTTAAAGATTACAAGAAGGTCATAGAGGAGCTATTTTCCCTTGTGGAGGTGTACACAGCAAAGAAGCAAAGCCTTTATATTAGATCTCGACTGTTTTGAACTGATATCCAAAAACATTTCTTCATACAAGATCTGGAGGAAATCTGAAATTTGCTCCCTCAAGAAGTAGTTGAGGCTGTAAATCAATTTAAAATTTCACAACTGAGACCCATCAATTCAATCCCAATCTGGGTGTTTCGGTATATAGAAGAAAGGTAGGTCATTAGAACTGCGACACAGAATACCTATTGAATGGAATGGCAGAACAAACTGGAAAGTCCGAATGGCCAATGCCAGTCCTACTGTCCTCTGCTTTTCAGACACATACACAGAATCTCTAACCTCAGAAAATGTCGGGATGCTGATGAGAGATTAACAACACCCTGATCATAAAACACCAGGAGGCTGCCTTGAGAGATACAGAGTGTGAGCACAGCACGAGGCAAAAAATACAGTAGCAGCTATCTAAACCCCCTTACTCTGACAGGGACATGGGAACACTGAGAGGTTGGAGGGGCAGGAGAGGCTTTGGGGGTGGGGGGGATAGAGTGGGGGTGGAGGGATGATTGGAACCCTGACACATAGTGAATGAGAGATAGTCTCTTACCTGATGCCTTGGTGCTACTGGTACCAGGCTCAGTCTGCGACAGATACTCTCTGAAAGCTTGTGCTGCTCTTCATGTTTGAAGCCACAACATAGCAACACAGGGAAAATTAGGAGAAAATAAAAAATGTCAGAGAATAAGACACCTCCCGAAACTAAACAAATGAAAAATTGACACAAAAATAAAAGCGGGTTCATCTCACCATACAGTGACAAGGAGATAAAATGAATGAACATTTGGGGAATAAAAAAATCAGTTCTTGTAGGATCAGCATTATAAATGTCATTTAATTAAATTCAACAGCCCATTACTGTAGAGGACATGGAGCACATTCAATATTTCTACATTTCCAACTGCTGCATCTTTAAATGTTTCATAAAAGGAAATAGACAGCAGCAATCCAGCTAAGTGATGGATGGTCTTCTCACTCGTTGGGTAGACTTAGCCTCATAGTGTGAAGTGTGACAGAGAGAGAAAGAGACAGCACAGACAAGGAGTAGAATCAATACAGGGAGACAATAAAATATGAGTAGTGCAGTGGAGATAATGGAAAGCAGAAAGCTTAAAATATCTGCAACATTTGGGGACAAATGTTTAGCACCTTGTGGAGTAGGCATCTGCAATTTTGAGCCCGTTTGTTTTAAACAGATCCAACAACTACAGCAAAACCATGGCTGCAGGAATATTAACACAAGCTCGCTCTGAAGTTGCAGGTTAAAAGTGCAAATTGTATAGAGTGGAGAGAGGAGCTATGGCAACGGGGCAGGGAGAAACAGACGAGGAAGACAGAGTGAGCAGAGTAAAAACGAGATTTTGAGAGGAAAAGAGAAACAGGAGGACAAAACGGAGAGAGACTGCGCAGACATAACACAAAACAAATAAATAAACAATATACACAAAAGAAAACAGAATAAGAGAAATCACTCTAAATAGACAGAGGTGGTGAGGAAACGGTCAAAGCCAGAAAGAAGTAGTAAAGAGGCAGGAGAGAGACAGAGACACAAGGAGCTGGAATATCCCTTTGGAACCACTCGGGAGCTGGTCTGAGTTCCGGAGCGCTAACCAGGCTCGCGGGTTTCCAATGAAGCGCACATGAGACTGGCTGAATGGACAGTCACCCTGGGCACTGGCACCGGAGATTTCTTTCTACAGAACAGGAGCGAGCAAACTTTGGTAGCATCAACTTTCGCATGTGCGGGGTAGAATCGATGGCTAGATGTAATCGAGCCAGAGAGCAAATCCAGCAGCCCCTTTAAAGGGAACTTTGGTGCAACTCAAATGCAGTGCAGCAGAATGGGCTGCAGCAGCCCGGCGTTTCTAGATGGAGAGAGGGAGGGGGTTGCAGACTGGGTGGGTGCTCTGCTGCCTGGTACGAGAAGGTGACGCCCAGCTCCCGACCCAGGTGGCACTTACCTGACCTTGGATTCAGCCGAGCAGATGGCATTGCTCCGCGGGTTCTTCCGTTTGGAAACAGCGCTGCCCATCCTGGATGGAGAGCCGGGGAATGGGAGACATGGCAGTCACAGAGCGGCCGGGAGTAACCCCTCTCCCATGCCAGGCAGTACCAGTCTCCGGGAGCTGTGTGCTGCCTGCAGCTCGCAGCCGCCTGCCATGCTCGGCTCGGGCTGAGTGGCGGAGCATGGGGGCTGGTCAGGGGCGGAGCCCGGGCACAGAGCAGGCGGAGCGCCGGCACAATGGGCAGGAACAGGCTAACCCAATACGGAGAGCGGGGGAGTGAGTGGCCCTGTCACATCCCCAGGGGAGCAGACAGCCCCCCAGGGGGGACAAGTAGAGAGAGAAAGGGACAAGGGTAAGATAAAAAGGGATCAGTGAAGGGGCAGATAGAGAGATCAGCTGGAGGGAAGGCGATAAAACGGAGGGCAGAGAGAAAGAGTAAAATGGGCCACAGGCAGATCTTTTAAAATTCATTCATGGGATATGGACATCGCTGGCTAGACCAGCATTTACTGCCCCAGAGAAGGTGGTGGTGAACTGCCTTCTTGAAATGCTGCAGTCTTTAGTGCGTAGAGACACCCACAGTGATGTTGGGAAGATACTTCCAATACTTTGACCCCTGGAACCAAGGGAACAGAGATATTTTTCCAAGTTAGGATGGTGTGTAGCATGGAGGGCAACTTTCAGGTTGTGATCTCCACATGTATCTGGTGCCTTTGTCTTTCGAGATAGTGAACAGCCATTGACAAGGGGCTACCTCAAAAGTTTTTGCAGAAAATAAAAGTTCATGGAGTGTGAATAGCACATTGGAATGGATAGATGGTTGGCTGGCTAACAGGAAAAAGAGAGTCAGGATAAATAGTTTTCAGGTTGGCAAGATGAAGCAAGCAGTGTGCCACAGAGAGTGGTGCTGAGATTGTCTCTGTTTATAATATATTAATGACTTGAGGGATGGAAAATACAGTTGCCAAACTAGCTGATGACACAAAGATAGGCACAAAAACAAGTTGTGAAGAGGACACGAGGAAGTTACAAAAACAGATAATGATATGTTAAGTGAGCAAAGATTTGGCAAATGGAACACAATGTGGGAAAATGTATAATGGCCCATTTTGGCAGGAAGAATAGAAATAAATGACATTATCAAAATGGTGAGAGATTGGAGACTCTGTGATGCAGAGAGATCTGGGTATCCTCATGCATGAATCGCGAAAGGTTAGTACACAGGTACAGCAAGTAATTATGAAAACTAATAGAATGGGGTTATTTAACACAAGGGGAATCAAATGTAAAAGTTGGGAGATTACGCTACAGTTATACAGGATGCTAGTGAGACTGTACCTGGAATACTTTGTACGGTATTGTACACCTTATTTAAAAAAGGATGTAAATCTGCCAGAAACTGTTCAGAGGAGGTTTGCAAGACGAATATCTTGAATCAATGGGTTTTCTCATGAGGCTAGGCTTGCATCTGCTGCAGTTTAGAACTGCAAGAGGTGACTTGATTGAAACATATCAAATCTTGATGAGTCTTGACAGGGCAGATCTGGTGAGGATATTTCCTCTGAAGCGGGAGTCTAGAACCAGGGCCACTGTTTGAAAATCAGACATCACCCATTAAGACAGGGATGAAATGAAAATCTCTTCTCACAGATGGTTATGAATCTTTAGAACCCTTCCTGAAAAGAGGTGGAAGCAGAGTCATTGAACATTTTTAAAGCTGAGGTAGGTAGATTCTTGTTAGGCAAACGGGTGAAAAGTTAATATGGTAGGCAAGAATGCAGGTTTGAGATTACCATGATCTTATTGAATTGTATTGTGGGCTCAAGGGGCTGAATGGCCTACTCTTGGCCCTTGTTGTTATGGAGAGACAGGGCAATTGAGGGAGTGGAGAGAAGAAAAAGGCAGATAGAATGTGATATATACCAGGCAGATAAAAAGGGTTAGATAGTGAAGGGAGCAAATGGAAGAACGCAGAGTAGAGGGGATAAAGAGAAGGCAGATAGAGAGTTGTAGACGGAAAGGTGGTGTATGAAGAGGTAGGGCAGATAGAAAGAGAGGGAAACATCCCTCAGCTAAATGGGTGGGTTGATGAGAGTAATGCTTTTGAAGTGTAACACTTGCATTTTCAGAAGGCACTTGACACAGTGCTTCGCAACAAACTTGTGAAGAAAGTTGTAGGAAGGTGATAGGAAACAGACAGTAATGCTCATTGGATATCTTTTGAGCTGGGGGAACGTTTGTAGTGGAGTTTCCCAGAGATTGGTATTGGGACCCTTGCTTTTCCTAATATATTTAAATGATCTGTATCTTGATATGCAGAGAACAATTTCAGAGTTTTAAGATGGCACTAAACTTTGAAGAATTGTAAACTATAAAAAGGACAGTGTGGCTGCCCAAAGAACAATGACATGTTGGTGGAATGGTGGACCAGTAGCAGATGAGTTTTAATGCAGAGAAGTGTGAAGTGATGCAATTTGGTCTGAAGAACAGCAAAAGATAATACAAATTAGGGATTACAAGTCAAAAAGGGGTGCAGGACGAGAGGATCCTAAATGTATTTGTACACAGATCATTGAAGGTAGCAGGACAGGTGGAGACAGCATACAATGTTCTTAGCTTTATTAATAGGGGAACAGTACACAAGGATGGATGTCGAACTTGTACAAGACACTTGTTAGATCTCAGCTGAAGTACTGTGTACAGTTGTGTGTGTCTCAGTTTAGGAAAGATGTGAATGCATTGGTGAGAGTGCAGAAGCAATTTATAAGAATGGCTTCAGGAATGAGACCCTTCAGTTATGAGGGTAGTTTAAAGAAGTTGGGACCGTTCTCGCTGAGGAGAAGAAGACTGAGCAGAAATTTGATTGAGGGCTGGATAGAGTAGATAGGGGAAGCTCTTTCTGCTTGTAAAAGAAACAAGAATGGAAAGGCATAGATTTGAAGTGATTGTGCAAAAGAAGCAAGGGTGATATGAGAATTTTTTTTTCGCACAGTGACTTTTTAGGGTATGGAATACACTGCCTGAAAATGCAGGTGAGGCAGGGTCAGTTGAGGTATTCAAGAGGGCATTGGAAGGTTATTTGGGTAGAAAAGGTGTGAAGGGCATGGGGAAAATGCCAGGAGATTGGCATGACGTAATATAGCTGGTGCAGGCAGGATGGGCTCAATAGCTTCCTTCCACACCATGACAATGCTGTGACGGAGCAGAATGTGGAAGAGGGACAGATAGTGATGGGGATTGGGGGGGCAGTTCAGAGAGGTAGGAGTGAACAGGAAAGGGAGGGCAGATAGGGAAAGGGAGGAGAGATAGAGTAATAGGAACAAATAGGAAGTGGCAGGCCAGGAAGGGTTGGATCAGAGGGGTATAGATGCACCAGTGGAGATTAGGAAGGGCTAGAAAGGGAAGGAGAGTTCTTTGAGAGTCTGAGGACCCAGAAAGGGAGAAGAAATTAGTTGACTTACATTAATGAAGGCTCCTTTTTGCTACTGTCTATCAAATGCTAACTTAATGTCAAAGGTGGTCACTTTCAACTCATCTTTGGTATTCAGTTCCTTTGTCCAGGTTTAGACCAGTGATCATTGGAGCCAAATATACTGAGTATTAGTGAACTGTTTATTGGTGTTGCTCAATAATTCTGTCAACAACACTTTGCATCAATTTGCTGATGATTCAGGGTAGATTGATAGCGCAGTAACAAAGGAGTCCATTGTATACATCTCCCCAGTCACACAAACATCTATTCATCACTTCCTGTCTTGGCTTCTTTAGACAAGATACCACTATTCCTTTAATCCATGATGCTTCATCAAAGCCCTTTAAAAATGCATAGATACACTTATAGAAATATAGAAGTACAGAAATTAGGAGCAGAGGAGTAAGCCATTTGGTCCCTGGAGCCTGCTCCACCATTCAATAAGTTCATGGCTGATCTGATTACTCTACCTTCCTGCCTATGCCCAAAATCATTTCACACCCTTTCTTATCAAGAATCTATCTAACCCTACCTTAAAAATATTCAAGGACTTTGCTTTTACCACCTTTTAAATAAGACAGTTCCAAACACTCAAGACCCTCTCTGAGAAAAAAAAATGCCTCAACCTGTTTTAAATGAGAGACCTTTAATTTTGAAACAGTGACTCCTAGTCCTAGATTCTAGAAAAATGTCCTTTTTGCATAGACTCTAACAAGACCTTTCAGGACCCTGCATGTTTCAATCAAGTCAGTTCTTATTTTTCTAAACTCTGACAAGGACAAGTCCAGCCTGTCTATCCTAACCTCCTAAGACAATCTGCCCATTCTGGGTATTAGCCATGTAAACCTTCTCTGAACTTCCAATATATTTATAATCTTCCATAAATAAAGCAAGCAAGTGAGCACAGTCATGCCTACCACCCTGAACACAGTGAACTCCCTAGAGGCTCAGACCCCAAGTATTGGGTTCTGCACATAGTCACATCTGTGTCCTTTATAACTGAAGCATACCCTCCTTACATGTGCACTTAATTCAACTGGCAATAAACAATAGCCTTCTATTAACTTTCATAATTATCAGCTATACCTACCTACTAACCTTCTGAACTCTGAAATCTCTCAACATATTGTGGAAAATTTTGTATCTTTCCACATTATACTACATTTGCCGGATCTTTGCCCACTCACTTAAGCTATGTGTATCTCCTTGTAGCTTCCTTATAACCTCTTCACGATTTACTTTCCTACCTATCTCTGTGCCAACAGGCAATCTAACAACTGTACCTCTAGTCCCTTTGGCACAAATCCCATTATATCTTGCCAACAAGAAAATGGTCAATTTATGACTATTCTCTGTCTCCTGTTAACTAGACAATGAAACCATCCATAAGAATGTAAGAAATAGGAACAAGTGTAGGCCATTCAGCCCCTCTCGCCTGCCCCATCATTCTATAGAATTATGGCTGATCTACCCAAAACCTCAACTCCTCTTTTGTGCCTGCACCTCATAGCCCTCCACTCCTCGATAGTTAAAAGACCTATCTAACTCTTTAAATATTTTCAATCGTCAAGCCTGCACAACTCAGTGGGGTAGAGAATTCCAGACATTCGCTACCCTCTAGGAGAAGAAATTCCTTCATATTTCAGATTTGATGAATGATGTCTTATTCTGTAAC